CAAAGTCCAGAGCTGCTTAAAGCGCCTGCTACGCTTGTGTAACCATTCGGATACTTAGCGAGGGGGAGTGTTGAACAGGCGCTGGTTTACACAGCTTGCCTAACACAGCCGTCACAAGATATGGAACGGCACAGCCGGTTACTGCAATAACCGAGGCTGTACTACTCATGTGGTACACACACAGCTTCGCTGTGTACACACTGCTTCTCTGTGCGACTGTGCATCCTGGGAATGTACTGTATAGTACTACGTAGCCACAGATGTACAGTAGTATATATAGGGGACCTCTGTACCCCCAATCTACAGTTCAGTTCACTCGAACATCTCCTCTCATCGCTCTAACAAGCCTCTTACAACCAACAACCCTTCTAGGTGAGTTGCAGGCTATCCGCTGTCGTTGCCACCCGTGGGAGAGGCCTTCGCCCCCCGGGTTCCACATGGATGATAGCGATTCACTTGATGATAATACCGGCGCATGGGGGGGATTGTATGATGCAACAATATACGGCATCAACGCTTCTGTGCTGTCTCTTAGTGTCAATTTTTTCGCCACTATTATAGTGGCTTACAAAGCATGGTGGGTCATCCTCCAATTTGATGTCCTGCTTAAGCTAGTTTTTGATGAATGTTGCAGGACATCGAGAACGTTCCTTCGGAAGTTCATGCTATCGGGCGACAGGACTATCCGGATGGAGAGACTATTCTCTATACTCGTCGAATCTGGGTTGGTTTATTGCACTATCTGGGTAGGTTCATTGTTTTGCACCCACAGGACAGGAGCGAGACTCAATCTTCTGCTTGCAGATGATCGTGATTGCTTGGCAGATTTCGGTGTACCCAGTCTTTGATCAAAACCTTGCCCCTACGTTTAAGGTGCAATTCGGCGACTTCATCGATGGAGGACTTGTACCTATCATTGTGCGTTGGGGTTCCTTCTTAAAGTGATGTAACTCTCATAACTCCCCACTGAAGGGCATCTATCCGGCGGTCGTGATCATACTCGTCGCACAAAACCGATCGCATATGGTGAAAGCCTTCGGCGGGTGTGCGGTCAACATCCCCGAGCCGTCGCGTTTGGACGGCGTCCCGGCCACAAGAGCGATTATGCTGCATATGGCACAGGAAGGGGGTGAAGTCGGAGAGGGACCAGAGGAGTCTAGCACGCACACTACTGACGAGTAGAAGATGAAAGCGCGAAGGTTGTGGTTCGTATTGCGGCGCAAGGGCGCTTTGACGAAATAGATGCTATAGACATGTCCCAGGGAGAGAAAGGAGTGTACAGTATGCAGGGTAACTTCTGTTCAGCCATAGTAACAGGTAGGAATCGGAGAAACAACAGATACTAGATATGTTCGTTCGCAGTGCAACGATTCAAGTCACGCCCCGAGCTCGACGACACACGTCCTCCGACAGTGATGACGTTCTTCGACAAGCGACCGTACGAATGCTGTACGCAGATCAGCGACCAGCTGGCCGATGTCAAGGACGGCGGGACGTGAATCATCCCCGGGCGATACGAAGATGTTCAGAATGACACCGGGTGCTCGTGCGGTCGACTCTTCCACCATGATCGTGTCCTCGTGCTCTGACTAGACGTCCATGTCTGTCAGACGATGAGGGTGAGCGATGTTGCAGTGGATGTCATAGCTCATACTCGACGCGCTTTGACCACCTTCAAATTCGCTCGGCAGGTTTGTGCACTCAGCGGCGGAAATCGACTTGCAGGGAGAGATTGAGACGTCGTGGTTGCAGACGATCTTGATGGCCTTTGAGCAGTCGACATGGACGGCTTACACGAAGGCAAGGGGGCGCGCCTTGGCTATTCGAGACAGCGTCAATGTCGTGTCCCACGGGCGCATCTCAGACAGCGACGTCTTTCTTCACCTGCTCCCGGCTCTCCTTCCACGCATCCTGCGGCGGAAAATCACGCTCCCGAACGAGCGAGTCCGCCCGTTCGCTTCTATGTCTCCGTCTCTGCTTCTTGCGAACCGTCGCGAGCCAGCCGCACGTCCTGCTCGGTGTAGAGCGCCAGACCGGGCATGGAATTCACGCGTTTTGCGAGCATGGTGCGCGCGCGCGGGGACGTCTGGGGTCTGGGAGAGGTTGTGAAAGTAGACTGTCCAGTCATTCGTGAGTGAGCAGGCAATCTAGCTACCCGATCCGAAGACTGCACACAGCAACGTGACGGATGATGCACGACATACCTTTGAGGGTATCTCGTGCGCCCTGTGGCAGCGGTCCCTTGGGTAGTGTCGCTTTGTGAGCGATGCGTTTGGATTGCAGCGTTGGAGCCTGCGTCGATGCTAATGTGGGTTTCGTAGGCTGGGTCAGCGAAGGGCGAGACGGAGATCGAGGTCGAGCTTGGAGCTGAGATATAGGCTGGCAAGAATACGCCCGCTGGAGGGTGCGTGTGTCGCAGTTGACGATGAGCGGGGGCCGTCTGCGGCTAAGGCGGGCCTGAAGTCGGCGCTCACGACAGGTACGGACCGTACGGTAGACGTGTGTGACTCAGACATCCAGCGCCCGAAGTCGACTTAGATGCCGATGCCGAGCTGCCATATATGAAGGAGATACGAACATAATAAGCATGAGTAGTAGATGTAGGGAGAGATGAGTCTCGGCGGCGACAGTAACCGGAGATGAGGTCAATGACTCACATACTCATTGCGAGGCCTAAGACTGGGGTTACGACACTGCCCTCTAATTGGAGTAGACACAAAACCCTCAAAAAACGAGAGAGACAGGCAAGCGGCGCACAGAATGAGAACGGAACGTACTTGTCACTGAATCGAGCAGCATAGAAAGCAGGCTCCCCAGCTCTAGCCGACAGCCTTGAACGCCTCAAGCCTCATCGCCCATACCTACCGCACGCCTGACGCCCGACCATGGACGAGCGAACACACCAACTAGATCCTCGCTTTATGGCTCATATACCCCCCCCAGCTTCTTCGTGTCATCCACGTTGTCCGAGTCCCGCAGCACGCACGGTGGTTAAGGTCGTCCTCTTCCTCGTCGTCTATCTGCGCCGGGGATTCCGAGAGCGGCATACCGGTGAAAGTGTCCGCGGACGAGGTGTCCTCGGGAGCGCGGTCATCTGAGAAAGAGGGCGAAGAGGACGAGGAGGTGAGGGTATAGACAAGGATGCGAATGAAGAGGTGCTGCGAGCAGTAGTCGGCCTTGGAGCGTGGTGGTGGACGCCTTCGAGCGCCAGCGGGTGCAGGTCTGCAAGGCACAGACACGTCCGAGCGTCGCGTCAGCACGAAGCACGAAGCACGCAATATCATCGCAAAGGGAAGAAGGCGGCGCACTGTACCTGAGCGCAAGCGCACTGATGACGTCCCAGCTGATGCCCCAGACGTCAATCCACCGCACACGCATCCACGACCCCGCTCGCTCCCCGCTCGCCTTCATCCCCCAAGAACTTGAGGACATCGCCTTTATCCATCCGCGCGGACCCCGCACGTGTCGTCGAGTTGTCGTTCACCACCGCTGGCGGATGTGACCGCACTTGAGAAACGCGGCGGCTAAGCCAAGGGGGACCAGGCAAGGTCGATGAATATTGGGATTGCAAGTGCGTATGTTCTGTCGCTCGAGTCTGAACGTGCGGCAAAGCCCTTGAGCGCCCGCCGGCTGGCTTGAGTAACACGGCGGAGTCTGAAACGCGTGATCTACTAACGGCGTCTTCTTCCTACGTCCTCTAAGTCGTGTGATGTCTGTCGCCTCTGCAACCCTGCATTTAAGACTTGCTTTCACGCTAGAACTTGCCGTGGCTATAGAGCGACTGATGACTCAATACTATAGCCATGTCTGCTCACAGGCTGGACCCGAGGCTCGCTAAGTCGCCATCACTGTCCTGTCTGCTCCTGTCTGCAGACTCAGCCCACTATATCGAAGCGATGTGATTCATCCGAAGTACCATCCATCCCAGTATCTGCAAGCACGAATGAGAGCTCATGAGGCTAGGCACTACCAGATACGTCCCACACCCTACCCAATTGTCGTAAGCATCCTATCTTCCGCATCGCTCATTTGCGTCGAGCCAACCCTTGGCATAAGGCCGCAAGCCGAGCTCGGATCTGGGTGAGAACCCTATTTATGACACCAACGTCATAAAGAGTTGTCCGTGCTCCACAGCGGGAGTTAACAGACCCGGGTGAGTAACAGATGGCTTAGGGACTTACTATCTGTCTGTAAGCATGGCTTGCCAAGTTCCTTCTGGAAAGCAACAATCTGTTAGGACTTTGACATACAATAGACGAGGGCCGGCCAGTGCTTGCCGGGATTCGCCGGTACGGCCGTGCACGGCCATAGGATGAGCCTTTTGCTTATGCAAGTTGGGGCTCCTAGTCCGCGTCTGGCATCATCGATGCCCGCCCCATCTTGGCGGTAGCACTCACTGACAGAGTGTGAGTTATAAGGAACAGAATGTTCGGTGAAGCAGTGTAGGGCGTGACATCATGCTTTGATGCTCATGATTTCGCGCCGAAGCACCGGGGAATGAGCGTTACCTTCCACTTCAGGCACTGCCCTGTGATCTGATACATATATTAGGGCACTGCTTTCTCATTTGAAAGCAGCACCCCCGTCTTACACTTTCCTACCACTAGCGACTACACAGCATTGTTCTCATGTCAAGCTCGATACTCACCTTGGATACCTCCGGGTGGGACTTTACTGCAGCTCAAACTATAGGAGCGATAAGGCAGATTGTCCTGTCTGCTGTACTATATGGTTGTTAGAAGCTGACCACATTCAGCTATTTATCAACCTAACTGGGTTTGCTTTTAGGATGCTTCACAACTTTAGTCGTCGTAGCGTTTACGGCTCTTCTAAAGTGAGCCCGCCGTTTCATATACCAATAATCCCTACTCGTTTGCTCAAAGGCCGACATTGATCTGAAGACAATGGCATACTCATCGTCTCATCACTGTTGTCCTCGGTTCGACACTCCTTCTGCTCTATGCATCCACGACAACCGCCTTCATCATTAATATTCTAGAGATACAGGCCTCCATTCTTGTCAGTATGTTAGAGTCGGTGGGGGCTATCTGGGGTGGGGCACCTCCAGACTACGAGATCCCGCCGTCAATCCTAGAACCATATTTCTCTGGTCCCAGCAACTATGGATCCTCTGCGAATACAGCCGCACTCACAGTCAACGTACGTCCTGCTCTTCTTACCACACCGTATTCTGTCATAACAAGTTCATGTCTCTCCTAGATACTCTTAGGCGATTCGATTGTTTGCTGGCGAGCTTTGTTGCTTTGGCCCGGAAACCGTGTTGTAAGAGGTGTCTTTGTCATACTGTTGCTAGCTACCTTCGGTGAGCTCGCAACGATATAGCAATGGCTATATGTTTTTCATAATCGTCGTTCCCGGGTCGTTAGCTCTGGGAGCGGTAGATCTCAGACTCACATGCCTCCTCGAACAATGTCCTCTCGACATGATTACAGCAGATACCAGCATGCAGGGAGACATGTACGGGGGAACACGATACGGTGTGGCTGTCCCTGTGCTGTGTCTAAGTGTGAATCTCTTTGCAACCGTCTTAGTGGCTTATAAGGCATGGTGCGTCATTTTGCGGGTTGATATATGCCCTAAACCAGCCTCTCATGAACGGTGCAGGATATCGCGAAGGTTCATTCGGAAGTTCATGGTATCGGGCGGCAGGACTGTACAGATGGAGAGACTATTCTCTATACTGGTCGAATCCGGGTTGGTTTATTGCACTCTCTGGGTAGGTCGATTGCTTTGCATCCACAAGCCAGGAGCGAGACTCAATATTCTGTTTGCAGACATTCGTGGTTTCTTGGCAGATAGTCGTCTACAAGTCATTAATGTCTGATGATGATTATGCCCCTGCGTTTCAGGCGCGATTTGGTGCCTTCATCAATGGAGGACTTGTACCTATCATCGTATGTTGGAGCTCCTTCTTCAAGTAATGCACCTCTCACAACACCACCGAAGGCCATCTACCCGGCCGTCGTGATCATACTTGTCGCACAAAACAGATCGCATATGGTGAAAGCCTTCGATAGGGGCGAGGTGAATACCCCCCAGCCATCACGTTGTGACGGCATTCGAGTTCCCAGCGCGACTGTGCTGCATATAGCGCGACGAGGGGACCAAGTGGGGGACATATCCGAAGAGTCGAGTACGCACGCCGCTGACGAGTGGAAAACAGAATCTGGCGGAATTGCTTAGTTTGTGGCTCGTATTGCGGCGCGAAGAACCTGTGGCGAAAAGACTACTATAGACATGTGGCAGGGCAAAGGATGAGAGTGTCAGTATGTATTCCTCGATACGTGTACATCTACAATGTCTTCCGATGGAATATGGGCATGACGGGGTGAAGTGGAGCCTGTTGCCCCACAATGCCTGGCAGGCAATGGAAAAACAAGAGGCGATAGAGTAGATGAGCATTCTTACTGCAGAGACTCGAGCAACGCCCCGGACTCGACGAACGTCCTCGGACAGTGATGACATTCTTCGACGAGCGACCGAGCAAATGCCGCCCGCAGATCAGCGGCAACTTGGCCGATGTCAAGGACGGCCGCACGTGTTGAAGCATCGACGGGCGATATGAAGTGGATGAAGGAGGCACTAGGTGCTCGTGCGGGTGCAGTCGACTCGTGTGCCACGTTGCTGTCTTCGCGCTCTGACGCGATGTCCGTCAGCTTCGTTCGACTAGTTCATGGGCTTGAGGACAGACGTTTCAAAACTACAAAATGGCACTGAGGGACCAGAACTGCTTGAAGGAGCGGGAAGATGCGACGCGGTTTGGTGTGCAGGTGGAATAGTCTGGGTCGCAAATGAGTTAGACGGGCTTTGCGCAGTCGAAATGGGCGGCTTGGACGAAGGCAAGGGCGTGCGCCCCGGCTATTCCAGGAGGCGTCAACATCGTGCCCCATCGACGCATCTCAGGCAACCAATAACGGCTTAGAATGCACACTCACCTCGATCGCACACCGGCAGCCTACACCAACCGCATCATCTTCCTCTCTCTCTACTACGGATCCCTTGCTCTCCACGGCCTCGTACACTCCGGCACGTGTGTCACAGACGCTCTAGGCTTGAGCCGCTCGGCCCAGCTCTGCGCGACCTCTAGGGAGGGGTTCGGGCCCTCGCGCATGAGTTCGGTAAGCTGCGTAAACAACGCGGTCCTGATTTCTCTTGGCATGACGACTTCCGAGCTCTCACAACGCGCCACCCCAACGCTGTTAGCACAATGCACACAAGGTATCTGGAGATGGCAGCACGCACAGTTCAGGTTAGAATCGACAGCGACGTCTTGCTGCTTCTTTACCTGTTCCAGATTCTCGTTCCGCGACGCCTTAGGCGGCAACTCACGCCCGCAAACGAGCGAGTCCGCCCGCGAGCTTTTTTCTCTCTGTCCCTGCTTTTTGCGCGTGGTCGCGAATCAACCGCACACGTCCTACGCGGTGTAGTGCACTATACCAGGGATGGTCTTCACGCGTCTTGCGAGAATCGCACGCGCGGGGAGGTCTGGGGTCTGGGAGAGTTTGTCGAAGTACACTATTCCGTCGTGCGTGAGCGAGCGGTCAATCTAGCTACGGGAGACTGCATACTGTGACAGCAATGCGATGGATGATAGACGACGTACATTTGATGGAATCATATGCGCCCTGTGGCAGTGGACACTTGTGGGATGTCACTTTGTGAGAGACGCGTTCGGATTGCAGCGTCGGAGCCTGCGTCGATGCCTGCGTCGATGCTGGTGTAGGTTTCACTGGCTGCGTCGGCAATGGGGGAGGGGTACTAGGTAGAGGTAGAGCTTGAGACTGAGATATAGGCTGGTAAGGATACCCCTGCCGGCGAAGCTGGAGGTTATTTGGGTCGCAACTGATGATGAGCGGGGAGCCGTTCGCGAAAGGGACGGTAGGCATGAGTGGGGGCTTCCAGCGCATGGCGTCGAGTGTCAATCCCAGTGAAAACCCCGCCTATTGCCAAAGATTGCTGGCTATTGCCGTCTGATGCCGTCTTTTCGGAGCGATTTGCATGACAGTTCGGCGTCTAAAATGGCTCGTTTCATACATCGATTGGCTCGTTTTATATATACAATGGGCCGTTCTATATGTACAATGGGCCGTTCAACGTCGATCGATAGTATTAAACCGGTGTCCGATGTATATATACTGTTCCATCCACATCTATTACATATATGCCTCCCTGTGTGCCGACCGACGGTTATCCTACCATATCCATTCTTACGATCTCGTCCCCAGCTCCTTCGTCCATGACGCCATCAGTGTTCGCAATGCTCTATATATAGTGGGCGAAAGCCGTCCTCCCATCTCTGCGCCCTTTCTTCCCTCCTCTCACCATCCCTTTCTGTCCTCGGTACTCTCATTCACCGTGAGCCTCGCTAACAGGTAGGGTATCGCTGTCTGTACACGTCAACATAGGTGAGTGGGTTACTCGCTGTCACACAGCATACAGGTAAGTCGCACGGGTGCAGCAACGCAGTAGGTTAGAGCACGTCGTGGTAGGTCACTGTATGCGGGCTTGGCACGATGCGCGGGCGCGGGGAGTAGCGTATTATTATGTAATGCGAAATTTGTATCGTAGAATGACCACCCATAAATACATATATCCGTTCATGCTCGATCTGGTGCCCATGCGCAACGAGCCCCAACTGTATAGGACTGTTGCACTCTGTTCCTATAGTTTTGCCAGGCGTTCAATAGAGTGGAACATACTGTTGGAATCTGTAGAATTCACACTCTAGTATCGGTTGGATGGTGTAGTGGTAACACCTCCCAGCGCATATGGGATGACCCGGGTTCAATCCCCGGTCTGACCAACTTTTCATTGTTCAACAGGTTATGAGCCCTGTGTGACGCTTCGAAGGGAGCAGGGTCAGAGAACCCCCGCCTCGGGAAATGTGCCTGAGGGTAACTTCATTTGGAAAAGTTGGTTCCTTGATTGATCACCAGAGTGTGACTTCAGGGGGAGTGTTGGAATCTGTAGAATT